TGTACTTTACGGGCCATTTTTTCCGAGAAATGGTGATTTCACAGGACTATCCTCGGTGGACAAGAGAAAATTGTCAATGAATGCAAAGGCGATGAACATCCTCCATTGCTCCCTTGGACCCGATGAGTTCACACGTGTGTGCTCGTGCAAAACGGCCAAGGAGGTATGAGATTTGCTTCAAGCCACGCATGAAAGCGACTCCTCCACAAAGCAAACCATGTTGGCCCTCGAAAACTCGGAGTATGAAAGTTTCGAAGTTGGCCAACACGAGTCAATCCAAGATGCCAATAGAAGGTTCAATGAAATAGTCAACAAGATGGGTAAGTTGGGTAAAGAATACTCTACAAGTGAATTAAATACAAAAATTTTACTTTCTTTGCCAAAAGAATGGCATAATAGTATTGTAGATCTTTTGCCCAAATGTGCAACGGAAAGCACTACCCATATTTGGTCTTCTTTATATTCTCGCGAGCTTTTGATGATTAAGATGAAAGAAGAATATTTTAGAGAAGACCCAAAATGAACCAATGCGTTCAAGGAATCCAAGGAAGAGTCTAATGATGACTCAAGTGACTCAAATGATGAGTCAAGTGAAACGAATGAAATATCCGATGGCTTTAATTCGTCAAGTGATGAAGAAGACGAAGAAAGAGAAATGAGGAAGAAATACAAGAGTTTTATCCAATGGAAATTTTATGAAGACTCAAGAAGGAGAAAATCAAAAGAGAAAGAAGTATATTCCAAACCGAAGAAAGAACGACATAAGCCAAGGTAAGTTTTTCATGCTTATTGGGATAAGATATTTTGTTTAGTTTTTATTGTTTTAAAAAAATAAAACCGTATCCCATATATGCTCTAATTTGTTTTAGCCTTGGTTTGCATGATTAAATAATTTTTAAAAATTCATTTTAAATCATGCCTTTTAGAAAATTATACCCAAAAATCTCTGAAAATAAAGTTTTTTTTACTTACATCATTCTAGGGGGAGTTTTTGTTTTAGGGGGAGTTTTGTGTTAAATGCACCTTTCACCCAATGACCTCTAAACAACTTTTTTTTTTTCAAAAATTCATTTTGATAGAGGGATGGTTTTCAAGACGTTATACATGGTTAAAAGTGTTAGCCTTGGTTTCCTAAGGCTCATGTTTTGATGTTAACAAACAATATAAGAGCTTAACGTTTGTTTAAGTGTTTCAGGTAAAACAAGAATCTATTAAGATTCGCTACTCAAGAATGAAGTCAAAACACTAAACTAGCGTAGAATATAGGTAGAAACCAATGTAAGGATATGATTTTATATACCTATATTCACAAGCTCAAAAGCTTTCAAAAATATGTTTAAAACCATCCCATAAACATTTTCAAATATCTAAAAGGTTTTAAACTCAAACACTAAGGATTAAGGGAATTTTGGAAAACGCGGGATAGTGGCACGGTACCCTATACCGTCCCAACGGTAGGGTATACCGCCAACATGGTACCCCAGTACCGTTAGTCGCCAGGTACAGCCAGAGCCGATTGAAGTTTTGGTGTTACACGGTACCGAGGTACCGCCACTCACGGTACCCCCTACCGTATGAACGGTACCATGTTACCGTGAGGACGGTACCGGCCTACCGTGACCGTTGGGTTACTATTCCTGATTTGTGATTTTGAATTAAATCAACCCTAATCACCTCCCAACGGCTAATTAACATTTTCCATTATAAATACAAGCCTAATCCTTCATATTTCTTCAAAAAACAAAGCTCGAAACATCCTCTCTTTTTATTCTAAGTGTGTTCATCCTATTATTAATTATTTTCAATATTTTGGCTATTTTAAGAGCCTTAAATTCCTGATTTTTATACACACACTTTGAGCTTGTGTTTCTAGTTATATACTCTCATATTCATAAATTTATATTGTATTTTTGAGAGAGTATAATTTCCTTCTACACCGGCTAAGTTTTGTTCTTCATTTTTATATTCTAGCCGTTGAGTAGAATCGTTGTTTGTGTTCTTCAAACACACCTTCTTACGGTCAAGAATAGCCGCTAAATTCTCACGTTGTAACGGTTAAGGATAGCCGTATAAATCCTTGGGTAAAGGTTCAAGGATAGCCTTTGAAATCTTTGGGGGAACGGTAGAAGATAGCCGTTAAATCTTCGTTGTAAACGGTTCGAGATAGCCGTGGTGAAATCTCGGAGTGAATCCTATTGGCAAGGGTTGTTTGCCAAACTAGTGCAGTGCTTTGACGGAGTTCAAGAGATCGGAACTTAGTGGAATCGGAAATCCTTGAGGAGGAGCCTCGTGGTACTGGAGTAGGGAGTTCCCGAACCAGTATAAAATCTGTGTGCATTTTATTTACGCTTTTATTTCTGCGTTTTATATATTGCTTCTGCATTTGCCAACATTGTTTTTATCAAACTCTGAAAAGTTTTGAAACGCCTTATTCACCCCCCCTCTAAGGCATGGGCACATCGTCTAAACGGACTAACAAAAAGTTTCAAATTGCCCTTTTTGATTTTGACAAAAGGGGGAGAAGATGTATACTTCAAAGTGGTGCATATGCTACTTGACTTGAGTGCATTCTTGTGTAACTATTTGCATCAAACTTAAATTTTTAATAAACACAAGAAAATTTCAAAGTGAGTATTTTTAATATGCTTACTCTTAGGGGGAGCTTGCTTGCTTCATTATTTTTACTCTTGCCTAACTCACTTTGAAATATATTGTTTGTCAACATCAAAAACGGGGAGATTGTTAGCCTTGGTTTACTAAGCCTCGTGTTTTGATGTTAACAAACAATATAAGAGCTAACGTTTGTTTAAGTGTTTCAGGTACAACAAGAATCCATTAAGATTTGGTTCTCAAGAATGAAGTCAAAACACTAAACTAGCGTAGAATATAGGTAAAAACCATTGTAAGGATATGATTTTATACACCTATATTCACAAGCTCAAAAGCACTCACAAAATATGTTTAAAACCCTCTTGTAATCATTTTCAAACATCCAAAAGGTTTTAAACAAATTAAAATTGGAAACAGTTTGGACAAAAATGAAAAAAACGGTCAGCGGGTACCCTATACCCTAAGGGGTACCGTGAGTCAATCTAAGAAGGTACCCCCTACTGTCACCCACATGTAGCTATCGTCCGTAATAATGGAAATCAACCCGGTTTGCACTATGGCGGTACCCCCTACTATGACCCTACCGCCTGTAGCAGTACCCCCTACCGTTACGGTACCTACTTACCGTTACAGGTACCGGATCCGTTGGGTTATTGTTCCTAATTGCTAATTTTGAATTTAAACAATCCCAATCACCTCCCAACGGCTAATTAACCTCTTTCACTATAAATACAAGCCTAATCCTTCATCTTTCTACATGAAACAAAGCTCCAAACGTCCTCCCTTTGTATTTTAAGTATGTTCTTTCTTTTATTCATTATTAATATTTTGGCATTTTCAAGAGCCTCAATCTCCTAATTTTTATCCAAACACTTTTGAGCTTGTGTTTTAGATATATATACTCTCATATTCATAAGTTTATATTGTATTTTTGAGAGAGTATATTTTGTTTTACACGAGCTAAGTTTTGTTCTTCATTTTTATATTCATGCCGTTGTGTTGAACCTTTGATTGTGTTCATCAAACACACATTTATATGTTGAATATTAGTAAGCCCTAGAGGCCAACTTATGATTCCATATCTATGATATCCAGAATAATAGGCCCTAAAGATTGTTTACGTTGTCTTGTGTGATTTAAACATAGCTTTAGTCCATAGAATAGGCACTGTAGTAACATAGATGAGAACTACTATATATCAAGACTAATACGTATGAGATGAGATAGCTGCGTCTCATAGGCTATTAATAAAGTGTTATCTGAATCTATATACGTAGGCAAACATATTGGATATGTTGCTGGATTGACCCGCTATGAGAATAATATATGGGTTTAAGTTATAGTGTTAATATTATTCTCATGCGACCATTAGTATAACTATCCTTCGACTTGAACTCATTACGATCTTTGATAAGTTGAGTTGCATATTTTGAGGCATGGTTTATGCCATCTGAAATAATGGTGGATGTACAATTATGTTTTGGGTATGCAATGATACTTAAGCGAGGATGTGAATGACGTAGATAGAATTTATCCCTTCTTTAATGAAGTATAATATTTAAGGGCCTACTGATTGATGTGACTTGGGATGTGCATGACCATGCCCAAATAAATATGTTATTTGAATTCCACAAGTCTATCAGAGAATCAATAAACCATCGATTTAACTCTAACAAGGTGAACACCCCACACCTTGTGTTAAATCAAGATATTGGTGATAAAGGGATAAATATTATACAAATGAGATGTGTCGTTGAAGAAATTGTTCCAAGAGCTTTATATCTATAATTTGGGGGTGATAATGTGTTGCTATATACCGCTTATTACTTGTAGTATTTAATCGATACTATGACCAATTTTATAGGTACCTAGAATAGGGTCTTACACATAGAACATATGAAAGTGTAGAATATTTAAGTGGAGTAAAGTTGCATTTTATTTATATATATATTGTGTATATTATATTGTGCGACAATGTTATTAGATACACAAACAAATATATAAATCAATATTTATATTTGGATAGTTTAAGTATGAGATAATTAAGTATGTCAAATATAATAATAAATAAGTATATATTTGGATATATATGTATAAATATTAAATTGTTTATTATTTCATTGAGGCGCAATAATATATTTATTTATTTGATATTTGGCCATTTTAATTATATGATAATTAAGTTTGTCAAATATTATTTAAGGAACAGAACATAATATTATTATATAGATATATATATATATGTGCGTGTATATATATATATATATATATATATATATATATATATATATATATATATATATATATATATATATATATATATATAGACACCCACATACATGATGAAGATGTTTTCTCTCACTACATTTTCTCTCCGTACAACGCTGCAATGTCGAACTTAAATGTCATTTTTTCCGATACACCCTCAAGCCTATCTTCCGATGAATTCCACCGTCGCCAAGAAATTCAATGGCGACTTGCCCAAGAATACTTGACGCCTTCAATAGATCCATCCGCCTGCAAGGAAGAGCTTCTTAGAAGCTCTGGGCTCCTCGACTTCCTCGATTCAACCAGACCTAAAGCCAATCGGATGCTACAAGGGTTTCCCGGCCATCTCTTTCTCGGATGACGAGGTACGAATTTTATCAGCCCCTTACCAGTTTGCGTTAGTGGGTCGCTTCTCAAATTCAAGACCACCATTGGACATCATCCGCAAAAGTTTTGAGAAAATTGGATTTACTCCAGGTTTCTCCATCGGTCTCTTAGCCCCTTCCATTATACTTATAAATTTTTCATCCCCAACTGAATATCAACGTTGCTTCTCGAGACGCCTGTGGAAAATTCATGGATCTCAAATGACTTTGTCAAAATGGAGTCCAGACTTCCATGCCGATCACGAAAATCCAGTCTTCCCGGTATGGGTCAGTCTTATTCATTTACCTATCCATCTCCACGAAGCCAAAGCTCTCCATTGTCTAGCAAGGGCACTTGGTAACCCATTGATGATGGATGCCTCAGCAACCGCCAAAACCAGGCCCTCCATAGCTAGGTTTTGTGTTGAAATAGACATCTCCAAAGAACTCACGAAGAAAATTTTGATCGAAAATGGTGGGATGGGTTTCTTCCAAGAGATAACCTATGAAAACCTGCCTGAATTTTGCCGTCAATGTCGGAAAAGTGGCCACTCCACCAGAAACTGTTGTGGGAAAGAAAAAAGACAAGAAGAAGACTCTAACAACAAAGTGCAACGAGATGCAATTCTAAAAACACCAACATGTGACTTTGGGAGGGCAAATCGGAATCTGGCCCTAGTAAAAAAGTTACTCCGTACTAAGTTAGAAGCGTATGGAGCTGTCCAGACAACTAAAGAGGACAAAACTCCTGCAAATACTACAGAGGAGGCTGCGAAAGATGATGGGCTCCAAGGCCCTTACCCCCCTCCTGATTTGGGACCCATTTTTGATATCAAACAACCACCTACATGTGGATTGGTCCCCAATTCAGGTACGAATAGAACTGACCAAAACATAATGTGTCAAGATTTGGGTCATAAGAACTCTGAGGTGGACATAGTTGTTTCGTCTCCATCCCCGAAGGGAGATGAACTTGCAACTTAAGGTCTGGACAGTATCCTTACTGCCACTCCTTGCAATAGGGATACTCCCAAAACTCCATATAGCAATTCTCAAAATGTTGTTCAAACTGATGACCAAAATGATACTCACAAAAGGGATAATCAATCCCCTTGTCCTTCATCGGAGGTTAACTTAACAGTAAAGAGGCACACTAAGGAAGTCATTGTTGAGGTGGATGGTTAGTTATTCATCACCGAAGTTTATGATGATGAGAGTTCCCGGATTAAAGCTGCAGCAAATCCAAATGAGGTTTGTGAGTCTATCACTGCTGGTGTGCACTCAGATCAGATCTCTGAGCCATCTAATGAGCCGAAATCTGAGGTATCTTTGGAGCCTATTACTGTTATTAATGAGGAGGTAGGGTTGCCGCTAATAGACTCAAAGGTAATATCATCAAACAATGTGGAAGATGGGATGCCAGCGACACCTAGATTCGATTATGAAGAGTATCAATACGAAGGGGATTTCACGCTAGTTAAAAGGAAAAACCGTAATTGCTTGGCGGTTCCTGAGTTAACCATCCAAACACGAAGTTGCTATCAAAGACGAGGTCGTGGTAGGAGATGACGTGGTCAAGCCTACTAAGTCACAAAAGTTCAAACCCACGGGAATGTAGTTTACGTTTGGCTTTGGTGCTGCGTCCCTTTTCTAGCTCTTTTCTGTTTGTCTTGTTTTGACTACCACTTTCGGGTAGTCCCTCCTTTGTATCCTTTCATTTTTCATTAATAAAAAACCCTTTCCATTGGAATATATATATATATATATATATATATATATATATATATATATATATATATATATATATATATATATATATATATATATATATATATATATATATATATATATATATATATATATATATATATATATATATATATATATATATATATATATATATATATATATATATATATATATATATATTGTTGCTTGTACGCAAAAAAGGTATATTCTTTAACAATAACTTATAATGATCATAAGAGGTCTTGGGTGGATCTACGTTTGGACACCAAAATTTTTGTTTTCCGCTGCGCTATCCAACCGTAGAACTCTAGAGTGGTATCAGAGCTGACTTATGAAAATTACTCCCTCCGTCCCAGAGTATTTGTCCACTTTCATTTTTACACACCATCCAATGCACTTCTTTAATCCATTTTATCTTGTAATTTGTAAATTAAAAAATTATAGAAATTATATATTAATAATCTATATGTTAAGACAAATCAAACAAGATCACACATGACTATATTTAGGCTTACACATTGAGAGAATTTGATGAGTCAAAGTGCTTAGATTAACAGTTCCAAAAGTCAAAAGTGAACAAAAACTGGGGGATGGAGAGAGTATAAGTTTTGTAGATCAATTTGTGGTTAGAGTTTTTGTTAATTAATAAAATAAAATATATGTTTATATATTTTCAAAAATTGTCCTAAATTTAAGAAAGGGCCAAAATATGATTAAGGAATTTGTAAAAATCGAAAATATGATTTTTGAATTAAGATTTTGGATTTATTTTATTTTTTGTATTAATGGGTTAAAAACCGTTTTAACCAATTAAAATATTTCGAAAATTCGAAAATGAAATTTTATTAAATCTCAGACTTTAAAACTTGATTTTAAGACCTCTCGAAATTTAAATTTAATTTTCACAATTTATTTCCTAATTTATAAAGTATTGTTTGATTTGTAGTTAATTTGATTAATTACAAGATAAATAAAAAATAAATTATAGAAAGTAATTTAAACTATTCTGAGATGTTAAAAAATGAATTTAAGCATTCTAGAAAATTAAGCTAAATTTTCGGTTTTTATTTTTCTATTTTTCGGATTTAAAATAATCTTATTCGGAATTAATAATGATTACATCGAAAAGGACAATTAAATTCGGAATCTTATTCGGCATAAAAGTTTTCAGAATTAAATTCGTGATTTAAGTTTTTAATTATTAATTTTTGGGAAAAATAGTTTTGACAATTCGGCAATGAATTCCAGAAAATTAAATAATTAATTTTAAATTCTAAAAAATTTAATATTTGGTAATTCTATCATAATATTCTGAGAATAATGATTTTTGGAATAATTATGATGCAAGAGAGGTAATTTTAGAAATTGTTTTATGGATTACCAAATAATAAATAAAAACTATCGAAAATAAAATTTAAGACTGGAAATTTGATTTTCAGATTTTATATGAGTCAAAAACTCTTTTTTGGAAAATATTTATTTTTGGAATATTAGGAATATTTGAAATTAATTTTGGAAATTAATTTAACTCTTTTGGAAAAAAATTCCAAAATACTGAAAATAAAATTTATTTAGATCTGAAAATTTTATTTTCAGAACAATACTGACCCAAAGTAAATATATTCAGATAATATTAATTTTTGGAAACTCGGAATTAATTTTTGGAAAATTGATGTTTGATTTAGACTATTTAAATAAAGAATTTCGAAAATAAATTTTGGAAATTTTATTTTAAAAGGTATGCGTATTTATTTTAAAGTAAAATCCTAATTTTGAAATTAATGCCTATATTTATGGAAATTAATTATTTTAAAATTTAGGAAAATTCAAAATTAAAATTTGGATATTTTGGAGTTTTAAAATAAATTTAAATAAAATTATTTGATAATTTTTAGGCTTCTAGTTTATTTTTATGCATGTGATGTATGAACAGTTGCTTGGTGCATGGTTGTGGCTTAGAATGTATGGTTTTTAAATACGGCTTGCGTGTTGTGCCTCATCTCTAATTTCTGGTTGTAAATCTCTTCTTAAACCTCATACCCCTTGCTTACAAAGCAAGGATTCCTTTCTCTCGATTAAACAAGAAAGTCCATAAAGAAGCAAGAAAGATGTAGGAGCCAAGAAGAAGAGGACATTAGCAAGAAGGGCTGAACTTGAAGGCTGAAGCACTCTTAAAGAAAGAAGGTGAATCTGGAGATAGAGATATCAAGTAAAGGATTTATCGTTAGTTTCTTTAGGGGGGCCACAACCATGTCACGTTTTATTCATTATACACGTTTGTATGTTTGAATGTATGTTTGTATGATATTTGCTAGTGTATGTGCGCGGCACATGCCATAGGGGAAATCACGTTTAAAATCCCTCGTAATATTAAGTCAGTGCCTTCCGATGCTTACTCACTCAACATTACCAGTTTCGGCCAGTCAACGGACACACCAAAGCGGGACGCCTAGTTTACATTGGTATGACGCAAAATCAGTAACAATGGATACTGAGTAAACCCAGGGCTGGACTTAACTAAGTTAAAGTAAAAGGATGAATAACTTAGAGGCACATGGTTAGGTTAATAAATAAAATCAAATTTAGCCTAGAGTTGTAAAATATTACAATTAGAAATAGTTCCTACCTGAAATAGTTTAACTATAGGGCAAGATGCAAAACACAACTATAGTTAGATGAAATAATGATCCAAGCCCAATATAGGATTTTATTTAGAAGAACCTAGCAAACCAATATTGGATTACAATTGGAAATAAGTTCCAACATAATTAGTTTAACTATAGGGCAAGATGCAAAGCACAACTATGGTTAAATATAATATGGACCTTGGCCCACTAAGATATCTCTTTAGGAGAAGTCTCGAATCAACAGGTTATGTACTTGAGGGTAGTTGATTTGTTAAAATAGTGGGAGAGTTTTTAATTAAAGAACTAATTAATTACTTATTTTCTTGATAATATCTATTTTGCAACACATCTATAGTACAGTTATATAACCTAATTCTTGAAATTACATGTAACTCCTAATATCAAACCACAAAATTGAGAAAGCATTCTCAAATTTTGAAAAATAAGTTGTATGTCTTTGAGGAATAAAAATATTTTGGAAACATTAAATATTTAGAATAAATCATGCTCACTTCAATGACTTCTCGTGTTAGAAGTGCAAAGAATGTCTAAAAGGTAAGATTCGATCTACACTTAATATAACTCTAGCGAGAGCACGCATGAATAATTCAAAATCTTAAGATTCTTCTCAACTATAATTAGCAAAGGAGATTCCCATTTAGGTTGGTTACTCTCAAGATAATCGAAGCTTGAGACAATGGGATTCCTATGCACCAAACGTTGGCTATAGACCTTTTAGCAAAATGTTGCTAGACATGATTGGTCTTCTTGTCACATGTATGCTCGGTAAATGACAAGATCGCTAAGAATAGTTGATTAAAATTAAGGAAAAAAGGGTGAGAAGAAGAAGTAGGGACCAACAAATGGGTCGGTGGCAAAAGATGTAAGCGTTAGTAGGCTCATATCCAAAACCACTTCTTCATCTTCCAAGCCCATACCTCGAACTTCTATTATGGCAAACCCGCTAATAGAAGAAAGACCTCGTGAATATCTATAAGAAAAATCAAAAGGAGGTGTGACTTCCAAGTTGAGTATTTAGTTATAGAGGTAAATTAGTCTACATTTATGAAATAGGTACTAGATAACGATACATGGGTCTCACATCCGTACCATTAAGCAAGTGTTGCATAATTATAGACTATTAACCAAAGAAAAATGGTTAAAGCACACGGTGGACCAAGTGTTGGATTTTTTGTCTTTTGCAAGTATAACTCAACCATACCTATTGGAGTGGTGCTACAATTATAGAATTGTTTGTAAAGTGTCTACAACAAGTGAAACAATCACCTATGAGTCTTATTTTGATAAGAATGCTTTTCGGTATTCAGTTAAGGGACAAACGTTGTTCTTCAAACTGAGATGATGATCGTGTTAACTAATATTTCATACGTCTTGAACATACTGTTAGCCTTGGTTTGCTAAGCCTCATGTTTTGATGTTAACAAACAATATAAGAGCTTAACGTTTGTTTAATTGTTTTAGGTAAAACAAGAATCCATTAAGATTCGGTACTCAAGAATGAAGTCGAAACACTAAACTAGCATAGAATATAGGTAGAAACCAATGTAAGGATATGATTCTATATACCTATATTCACAAGCTCAAAAGCACTCACAAAATATGTTTAGAACCATCCCATAAACATTTTCAAATATCTAAAAGGTTTTAAACTCAAACACGAAGGATTAAGGGAAGTTTGGAGAAATCAGAACAGAGCCACGGTACCCCTAGCGGTACCCAATACGGTAGGGTATACCGCCTACATGGTACCCCCATACCGTCCTATCCAGGTACCGCCAGAGCCGAATGGTTTTTTGGTGTTACACGGTACCGAGGTTCCGCCACTCACGGTACCCCCCTACCGTATGCACGGTACCTTGCTACCGTGTGGACGGCACCGGCCTACCGTAACCGTTAGGTTACTGTTCCTGATTTGTGATTTTGAATTAAATCAACCCTAATCACCTCCCAACGGCTAATTAACATCTTCCACTAAAAATACAAGCCTTATCCTTCATATTTCGTCAAGAAACAAAGCTCTAAATATCCTCTCTTTTTATTCTAAGTGTGTTCATCATTTTATTAATTATTTTCAATATTTTGGCTATTTTAAGAGCCTTAAATTCCTGATTTTTATACACACACTTTGAGCTTGTGTTTCTAGCTATATACTCTCATATTCATAAGTTTGAATTGTATTTTTGAGCGAGTATACTTTCCTTCTACACCGGCTAAGTTTTGTTCTTCATTTTTATATTCAAGCCGTTGTGTAGAACTCTTGTTTGTGTTTTTCAAACAAACCTTCCTACGGTCGAGAATAGCCATTAAATTCTCACATTGTAACGGTTAAGGATAGCCGTATAAATCCTT